TCCAGTGGTAGAGCATTTGCCTAGCACGTGTGAGACACCGGGTTCCATTCTCAGCACCACATATAAATAAATGAATAAAATAAAGGTCCATTGGGCTGGGATTGTGGCTCAGCGGTAGAGCGCTCGCCTAGCACGGGCAGGACCACATAAAAATAAAGGCATTGTGTTGTGTCCATCTACACCTAAAATATAAATATTTAAAATAAATAAATAAATACATAAAGGTCCGTCAACATCCAAAAACTTTTTAAAGTAAAAGAAAATATACTGCTGGGCATGGTGGTGCACACCTAAAATCTCAGAAGTTCAGGAGGCTGAGGCAGGAGGATCACAAGTTCGAGGCCACCCTCAGCCACTTAGTGAGGCCCTGAGCAACTCAGTGAGACCCTGTCTCTAAATAAAATATAAAAGAGGGCTGAGGGTGTGGCTCAGTGGCAAAGCATCCCGGGGTGTTAACCTTAGTGTGTGTATAGATAGGTATCTGTGTCCACATGTTCACAGGAGCATTATTCATAATAGCTAAAATATGATAGGAAGTAATTCAAATGTCCACCAACAGATGAATGGATAAAAAGGTGGTCAACACATAAAACAGTTCACCTTAAAAAGGAGGAAAATTCTGGCACATGCTACAACATGGATGACCCCCGAGCACATTATGCCAAGTGAAATGATCCAGTCTCAAAAATATTGTATGATTCCACTTACATGAGGTACCTAGAGTGGTTGAGCTCGTAGAGGATCCCCCCCACACCGAATGGTGGGTGGTAGGGGCTGGAGGAGAGGCATGGGAGTTGTTTCCTGTGTTCAGAGTTCCAATTATGTGAAACTGGAACAATTTTGGAGACAAGGCAGTGATGTGTGCACAACAGTGTGAGTGTGTCTGATGTTCTCATTCACCTAAAAGTGGTTTGCTTCCTCACAGAACTAGAAAAAAGTCCTAAAATTCAGTTGAGAGAATTGAAGAGTGAGAACAACTAAAGCAAACCTGAGCAAGAAAGGCCAGGTATCAACACCTGACTGCAAACCACACCACAGGGCTCTAGTAGCAAAGCTGCACGTAACTGGCATCAAAACAGACACCCAGACCAGTGGTCCAAAACAGAAGACCCAGAGACAAACCCACATGGATACGGTCATCCGATCCTTGACGAAGACGCCAAACACTACATTGGAGAAAAGGCAGCCTTTTAAACCAGTGGTGCTGGGAAAACTGGAAGCCTCTATGTAGAAGACAGAAACTAGATTCCCCCACCCTGCGCGAGTCAATCAACGGTGCAGCAAAGACATTGGAATTAGACCAGAAATTCCGCAACTGCTAGAAGAAAACATAGGGTCAACACTCCAACATAGAAGCACAGACAATAACTTCCTCAAAAGGACTTGTAAAGTTCAGGAAATAATGCCAAGAATTAATAAATGGGACGATATCAAATTAAAAGGCTTCTGCACAGCAAAGTAAACAATCAGAGCACAAAGAGAGTCTACAGAATGGGAGAAAAATCTTTGCTAGCTACTCTTCCAACAGAGGATTAAATCCAGAACATGCAAAGAATTAAAAAAATTACCACCCAGAAAACAAATGATCCAATCAATAATGGGCAAATGAATTAAACAGACACTTCTTAAAAGAAGAAATACAAATGGCCAATAATTCTATGAAAAATCCTCAACATCTTTAGCAAGTAGGGAAATGCAACTCAAAACTCCACTGAGATTACGTCTCACTCCAGTTAGATCAACAGCCATGGATAGTACAAATAATAAATGCTGGATGTGGGGAAAGGAACACTGTTAGTGGGATCGTGAACTAGTACAACCACTATGGAAATAGGTATGGAGCCTCCTCCAAGGACTCGGTATGGAACCACCATACGACCCAGCCAGACCACTCCCCTGTGTTTATCCAAAAGAATTAAAGTCAGCGCGCTCTAGGGACACATGCAGAGCCATGTTTATGGCAGCACAATTCCACAATAGCCAAATTAGGAAAGAAAACTAGGTGTCCATCAACAGATGAATAAAGAAGATGTGGTGGAGATACACAATGGAGTTTTACTCAGCCACGAATAAAAATGAAATTATGTCATTTGCAGAAAAATGGATGGAAGTTGAAATAAGTCTGAGTCAGGAGGTCAAGGGTCATATGTAGAAGCCAGAGAGGAAAATGGGGGGTGGGGTGAAACGGGGTGGGGGACTTCACGGAAATGGAAGGGGAAAGGAGTAGAGTAGAAGAAGAGGACCAGGAGGAGGAGGGAGGAGCGGAGAGGGGAGGTATTGTGGGGACAGGACTGACCCAATTATATCATCATGTTGTGTGCATGTACAAATAAATAACAATAAATCCCACTTTTATATGTAATTACATATGACTTTTATGTGTAGCTAACCAATTTTAAAAAGCAAAAAAAAATTAAATAGAAATTTCACAGGACAAAAATAACGGTAAATTTTACATGTATTTTGGAACAATTAAAAAAATTTTAGCCTTTTCAATTAAAATATTTTAGTGCACCAACTCTGAGCGCACACCGTTCAAAGAGTTCTGGCCGGTGTGTCCAGTGGTGTGACCACCCCCATCATCAAGACAGAAGGCAGCTCCACCATCCCAGAATACTCCCTGGTGCCCATCTGTAATCATGGCCCATCCTGACACGCCGCACATCACGGCCCAGGCGACAGATCTGCTTTCTGTCCCTGTGGATGAGAGTTTCCTGCTGTACAATTTCATGTAAAGGTCACCACACAGCGTGCGCCTGGACTCCTCTGCTCCAGGCTCCCTTCACCAAACACAGGTTTCCGAGAGGTACCTGCAGTGCGACACCTGTCGGCAGGTGGTTCTCTTCACTGCCGAGTCGCATGTAGTCCTGCGGGGACACCGCCCTCCACTCTCCCTTCTCCCGCTGATGGGCAGTTGGCTGTTTTCCAATGTTCCTGGTCGGGACTATTATGAATATTTGTGGGCCCATGTTTTTACTCTTGTGGGTAAATACTTAGGAGAGGGATTACTGAGTCACATGTTAAGATTATGTGTGTAAGAAAGGGACACCCTTTCTCCAGGTGGGCGTAGGGTCACGGTAGACCCCAAAAGACAGTCCACGTCCCAACCTCCAGAGCCTGTGAATGGAAACTTTTGGGAAAAGGGTCTTTGCAGATGTAATTAAGTTAAGGATCTCCAAAGGAGATCATTTTATATTTAGGCTGGTGCTCAAACCCAGTGACAAGGGTCCTTATTAAGAGAAAGACGCGGGGGCTGTGGGGAAAGCCATCTGGAGGTGGACATAGAGACTGGAGTGACAATCTACCAGCCAAGGAATGCGAGGTCTGCCCACAGCTGCCAGCAGCCAGGACAGAAGCATGGACTGGCTCTTCCCCAGGGCCTCAGAGGGAACCAACCCTGTGGGCCCCTTGACGCCAGACTTCCGCCTTCCTGAACTGTGAGGGAATAGGTCGTGTTGTTCCCGTGAGCCCTTCTGCAGCCACCTGGTACAGCAGCCCTACCAAGCAAGGACAGCAGTCATGTGGTTTGGCATCACAGATTTCTGGAAAAAAGGTGTGTAGGTGTGAATTAACTCCAAATAGCCAAGGGCAGGACGTAATAGAATGTAGTAGACATCTATTTTAAGGGACTGTCCCTTGTCCACTGCCATGCAAGTCTTTCAGGACTGACAATCAAGGGACCCCCCTACATTCTCTGCTAAAGAATGTTATGGCTGGCTGGGGCTGCAGCCCAGTGGTAAAAGAGCTTGCCTTGCATGTGTGAGGCACTGGGTTCGATCCTCAGCACCACATAAAAATAAATAAAGGTCCATCAACTAAAAAAAAAATGTATAAATATATATGAATGTTATGGCTTCCAGGAGATGAATTCACCCTTCCAGGAAAAAGGGAGGAGTCCCGAGGGGGTCTGGGCCAATCAGAGGCAAGAGGGCAGGGCAGGAGCCATCAGTGATGGGGGGGAAGGGACCCAAGAGCATGTTTGCCCAGCTGGGTGCAAATTCGGTGGTGGGCATCTAAAGCCTGAACAAGACCAATCAGAATTTTTTTCCCTGATTAATATGGAGGGACAGAGAGGAGCCACATTTTGCTACCTCAGAAATTATCTGCCCTGTGGGCAAATATAGCAGGACCTGCTAATCTCTTAAAATTGCAGCAGGTCCTGTGAATGTCTCACTCAGACACCACCTCCCTCCCTCTGCTTCCTCAGTGGCAAAGCCTTGCGCCCCGTGATGGAGACCAGACATGACAGATGCCCACTTCCCCAGAGTGCTTTGCAACTTCAGGTGGCCACAGAGCCCAGTTCTGGCAAAAGAGAAACTAGAGCCCTTCGGGGGAGAAAGAGCTGAGCACATAAGGCGAGGCCCGTCGACATGGCCTGCTTTAATGCCGCTGGGTGAGAACATCATGCTTGGTGTGGCTTCAGACAGCTTGTCCTCGTGGGGGGAAGGCAAAGCCAGTCTCGGAGACGCCAAAAACACTCAGGGGCTGGTGTTGTGGAGCCTGGTGCCTGAACTAACCCTGGGACTGTCTGTCTTTGAAAGATTTGTTGTGAGCACAAGAAATCTCCATCCCTTAAGCCCATTCAGTTTTGTTGTTGGGTTTTGTTGGTTGGTTTTTGCAGCCGAAGGCATTGTAACAGATGCAGCTTAACAAGCCTGGATGCCAAACGGTCATCTCATTACTACTGCGAGACCTAGATGACAACAGTGGAGGGCAGCGGACGTGGAAGAGTCACTTGACCCCTGCCTCCAACTATGCCTGAAGTCCCTGTGTGCCCCCAAACTCCGCATGCACAGAGGTCTTTCAGTTCTCTTGAGGATCTGTGGAACATTCTGTGACCTATAACCACAACAGTCTTGGCTAATGGAATCTTTAGAAACTAAGGCTCAGAGGGATGGATGAAGCTGCCCAGCCACGGAAGGAAACACGCCTGTGTCTCAACGCACGGCCGGCATGTTCCAGGACAGCTTCTTAGTCCCAGAGAGGACAGGAGCCGCCGGTGAGTGAGACCCACGGAGTGTGTTTATTCTGGCGTTGATAGCAGCAGCGGTGGGGGGATCGGCCAGACACGGGGTGTGGCGAACACAAGGGGCGGACATAGGTGTGAGCGAGTGTTGGGGGACACAGAGGACTGGTCTGATGACATTCACATACGTACAAGGGTCAGGACACCAAGTCTTGGACAACAGTCAAGAGACAGAGACAGAGGGTTTGTGGGGCGGGGGTCCCCCAGACATGCACGGCCCCTTGCCTCGAGGGGGAGCCCCAGGAAAGAGAAGACAGACAGTGGAGGCTGAAAGCCCCCCACCCTGAAACAGGGAGCTGGGCCTGCCTCCCCGCCTCCCGCTCCAGGGGGAGAAAGGGCAAGCCCAGGGCTGCCCCGCACCAGCAGCTCGGACATTATGGCTTCGAGGAGATGAGTTCACAGTCCGGGCAGGAAGGGATGGGGGCCTGGTCCGATCCCGGGCCTAGGCCAGACCTGCACAACAGGGCAAGAGAGGGGAGGTCAGCAACCAGAGAGTAAGGTCATGACCTTTCCGGTCCCCATCAGTGGGGACCAGAAAGCCTGGGCCTTGGCCTCCCCTCTCTCAGACCCAGGGTCCAGGCCCAGCCTCCTCCCTCAGACCCAGGGTCCAGGCCCAGCCTCCTCCCTCAGACCCAGGGGCCCGGGCCCGCCCCCCCCCCCCCAGACCCGGGGGTCCAGGCCCAGCCTCCTCCCTCAGACTAGGTTGGCCCCCCACCCTGTTTGGGTTCCTTACCCCTCACTCTGAGTTCTCTTTCTCTGATAGTCCTTTGCTGCCTTTGGTGAAGCTGGTCAGAGTCTTTTCCTGAAGGGGAAATCCAGAACATTCAGCAGGGGACAGAGGCAAAATGACCACTAAGGATCAACAGGAGAGACAGCACTCCTGCCTGTGTGCTCTTCACACTCAGCTCCGGGGGGACGGGGCAATCGGTATGACTATCTCCTTCTGTGGACAGGGAACCACGGCACAAAGAAGGCCAGTCCCTGCAAGTGCAAGGGGAGATGAGGCTCGAGGGCGACAGGCCTCCGAGGAACTGAGGCTTCGTCCTGGGGGAACTGAGGAGCCAGAGAGGGCTGTAAGCAGGGGAGGAGCAGGGGCGGCTCTGGGGCCCCATAAAGCTCTGTGGGCGGAAACTCAGGGGCAGAGTCAGGAGCCAGCCCTCCAGCACCGCCCGGCCTGGGCTGTGGCTCAGCGAAAGCTTCCAGAGAAGTTTGTGGAATGAATGAGCAAGTGAGTTAGAAGCCTGGAGGACTAAAGGAGTGGGGGGCTCTGGTGGGGCCCCCCTCCCACCAGAGTCAGAGTCTTCAAGTCTCCGATCCAAGCTCTGTACCCAGAGGGTCAACCCCTCATCACCACCAGAAAGGAAGTCCAGGCAGGACCGGACTGAGGCCATGGGGAATTCACCCAAGTGCCATGGGTGAGGCTGTGGCCCCACCCAGCCATCAAGCTGAGGAAGATATTAATGTGATATTCTTTAAAAGTCAAAATGAATGCAAAAATCCATGATGAACAAAATACCAAATTTTAAATGAGGATAGTGGTCCCATGCCATCAGATGGACTGACCGAGGATTTAGGGTCTGTTGACCCTTTTGGGCCAGTGTGCACCCCTACAGACGTGTTATTTGTGGTGTGTGTGTGTGTGGTGTGTGTGTGTGTGTGTTACTGAGTATGGAACCCAGGGCCTCACACACACTATGCAATCCACCACTGAGCTATGTCCCCAGTCCTGGTGTTGTATCATTACTATTATGTGCCAGGGATTGAACCCAGGGGTGCTTATCCACTCAGCCACATCCCCAGCCCTTTTTATTTTTTATTTTGAGACAGGGTCTCACCAAGTTCTTAGGACCTCACTAAGTGGCTGTGGCTGCCTTTGAACTTGGGATCTTCCACCCTCAGCCTCCAGAGCCCTTGGGATTACAGGCATGGGCCACCTCACCCAGCTGCTGTGTTCCATTTTGACTTTATTATTTTCTTATTTATCATAAGTGTCCTCACCCAGTACACCACATCCACTAATTTTCACGACCTGCTCCAAAATGCTTCATTTTATCACCCAGTTTCCCCCTTTATTAATATCTAGCACCCAGGGGTAATAATATTAGCCCACCCTTGACTGAACCCTTAACTCACCAAATCCTTACATCTGTCCCTAAGGGTAGTTGCTATTAACAGCTCTATGTCCCAGCAGAGGAAACTCTGGCACAGAGAGGTAAATTGGCTTGCTCCGGGTGGTACAGGGGTCCTAGAGCAGGCTTTGACCCTAGACCATCCGGTTCCTCCCTCCGGAGCGTCTGCCCGCCGCACTCACCTCCACCAGCTGATGCCAATGCTCCACGGGCTTGCGGGGGTTCGCCAGCATCTCCGCCCAGTGCTCGCGGCCGTGGGGGTCGGCGGCCTCGGGGCCCACGCGGCACACTCCGATCACCTCGTTGTGCCCGATGCTGGGGTGCGGGTGGTGATTACCAGGGGAAGGGGGAGGTCGGCCGCGCCACCCGCCCAGGCAGCGCCGCTCACCAGTCATAGTCCACCACGGCGATGCTGAGCCCCACGTTCTCCACACTCTCGGGGGCCACGTCGAACACCAGCGCCTCATTGTACGTGGGGTTCAAGGTGTTCTTTTTGATGGAGGTCTTCCGCTTCTTCAGACGCCGCCCCTCGCTGATCAGAGAGGCCTTCACATAGGGGTCTAGGGAGAGGGAAGGGCACAGGGCTCATGTCCAGGGGTCCAGGCCCAGCCTCCTCCCTCAGACCCAGGGGTCCCAGAGCCAGGCCTCCTCCCTCAGACCCAGGGACACAGGTCCCAGCCTCCTCCCTCAGACCCAGGGTCCAGGACCAGCCCTCCTCCCTCAGACCCAGGGTCCAGGCCCAGCCTCCTCCCTCAGACCCAGGGGTCCCAGACCCAGGCCTCCTCCCTCAGACCCAGGCCCCAGTCCTCCTCCCTTAGTCTAGTGGCCCCCTGGAACTCACCTGAGAAGCCGGTGAGATCCATCGCTTTGAGGTTAGAGGCTTTGATGATGGTCACGGTGAGACGCCCGGCCGTGGGGAGGTAGCAGAGTGAGAAGTTGAGCTCCCCAAGATCTGCCTTTTCCTGCAGGTGGAAGGGGTTCAGTGATGCCGGGCCCATCTCGCCCTGGTTCCTCTCTCTCCTTCTGACACCCAGGCTCAGCCCCATCCACTCAGCACCTGACTCTGGGCCAAGGCCTGAGCTTCCTGGACACAGCTGCCCACCACTGTCAGAGCCTGTGTGTTCTGAAGCGAAGGTGGGAGGGAGCCAGGGGAGGGAGCCAGGGGAGGAGAGGACCAGCGAGTAGTGGATGGGGCCAGGGGCCAGGATGCAGATGGAGACAGGTGGAAAGAGACCACAGGTGGAGGCCCAGAGAAGGACAGAGACCCAGAGGGAAGGGACAGAGACCCAGAGAGAGAAGGGGACAGAGACCCACAGAGAGGGGGACAGAGACCCAGAGGGGGGGGTCAGAGACCCAGAGAGAGAGAGGGGGACAGAGACCCAGAGAGAGAGAGGGGGACAGAGGCTCAGAGAGAGGGGGACAGAGACCCAGGGGGGTGGGGACAGAGACGCCGGAAGAGGACAGAGACCCAGAGAGAGGAAGACAGAGATGAAGTGGGAGACAGAGACCCAGAGCCCCAGTGGGGGAGGGAGAGGCAGGGCTGGGGTCCTGTGAGGGAGCAGAGACCAGAGCAAGAGGGAGACTGGGTGGGAAGGGGCGTGGGAACCCTAGGGGTGTGAAGGGGAGGAGGGGGAGCAGCGACTGGACCCCCAACGTGCAGAGAGAGACCGACGTGGACAGATGGGATAAGAACTGGCAACAGACACAGAGCTAGCTCCAGAGAGGGCAGGGGACAGGAGGCAGACCTGGGGCCCGGGTCTAGGTCATCACCGACCGTGTTAGGGGCCAGTGTTTTGGGGACACAGAGGCGAATCATCTGCTCAGGGCAGTAGGAGGGGACCCAAGAGCTTGCAGGACAGGGTGGCATCACTGAACCCCTTCCCCAGTCGCAGTGAGGCTTCAAGGGAGACAGACCCCCTGTCCCTGACACAGAGACGGAGCAGTGGCCGGGGCTGGCCAGGAACCACGCTGCGCTGGGCAGCCCTGCGTCCCACCCCTCCCCCACTCACCTCAGGCCTTGCCCAGGCTGCTCCCTCGGCTCAGAATACCCTTCCCTCCCTGCCTCCTGTCACCTCCCCAGCCTTCAAGCCTCAGCTTCGTGGTCACCTCCTCCCACAAGTCCTGGGCAGATTCTCCTCCCGTGTGTCCTCACAACACTGGCCCCTGACACCAGCTGTGTCCACCCAGACCTGAGCTCCCAAGGACAGGCTGGGGGGGAGGAGGGATGAGTGGATAAGCCGGAGGCAGATGGGAGGGGACAGGCACAAGGGGACAAGGGAGAGGGCCTTGTGGGGCTGCTGAGGCAGCATCAGAGAGCAGAGGTGTGACAGATGGGAGCACGGCAGGCAGGGTCCCTGACACTAGGCACTTAGGTCCAGAGGCTAGGCTTGCAGGACGGGGCACACGGCCAGGGAGAGCCCGTGGGGGCCTGTGGCAAGAGCCGTAGGCACCCAGTGTGCCACTGGCCAGACAGGGAAACAGCCCTGTCCTGGTGTGCGAACAGGCCTTGCTGCCCGTCCACGGCTCCCAGAGACAGAGAACCGGGAGGTGGGTATCCCGGGGAGCAGGCCTGGGGCTGACTCTGGGGTCACACAGATGAGCTGCCAGAGGGTGGGTTTGTAAGAAAGGAGGAGGGCGCCCTGGGAGAGAGCCTGTGGGCACCACCATCCGGGCCCTGGGAGGCATGGGGGACCGGGGATCCCATCAGGCCTGGGGCCTGGGTGATCAGGCTATCAGGACTCAGGGGAGGGGGCAGGAAGGAACAGTGGGCAGAACAGGATGGGCCGGGGGAGGGGGGAGTTTGAAGGTCATGGGTTTGAAAAGTGGAGATCAGAGAGGCCTGCGGCTTCGGAAGTCTGGCAATTGGAAGGTCAGGAGGTGGGAGATGAAGGAAGCTGGAGAGTCAGAAACCTGGGGTCAGAGGGCAGATGTCACAGGGTTGCACCGTGACATCATCAGATGGGTGAGGAGGGGGCCCGAAGCCCGGGGATCTGGGATCCAGGCGGATGCTAACGTCTGACAGAGACGGGGTCGGGGATGAGAGGCCCATTGCTGTGTCACGACCCATTAAAACAACCAAACAACAAACCCCCGCCAGGGACGAGAAGTTAGGAAGTCCCAGGGCCAGGAGGGCACAAAACCAGTGTCTCAGGCTGGGGAGGGGGAGTCAGCCGAGGGCCGGTGGGACGCAGGTGCTACTGACCGAGCCGCCCTCCACGATGTCCCTCCAGAGCGGGCGGTCGGGGGGCTGCTCGGCCAGCTCCAGGAGGTTGTCTAGCACCACCTGGCCGATGAGGTCATGCCGCGAGAAGCGGTCAAAGTCATAGACGCTGAAGTGCAGCTTACGCTGCGCCAGCTCAGCCAGGGGCACGGAGAACTGAAACGTCTCGTTGAAGACAGGGTTCAGGGTCTTCCTATGCACCTGGCAGCAGGTGAGAGAGGGAAGCAGACAACATGCCCCCAGCCCCTTCCCAGGACCCAGGGGTCCAGCCCCAGCCTCCTCCCTCAGACCCAGGGTCCAGGCCCAGCCTCCTCCCTCAGACCCAGGGTCCAGGCCCAGCCTCCCCCCTCAGACCCAGGGGTTAGGTCCAGGCTCCTCCCTCAGACCCAGGGGTGCAGGCCCTTAGGTCCCTGCTCTTCGGAACCCTGAACTGCAGCCCGCGGCTTCGGACCTTGGTCTGAAACTTCTTCTTGCGGTCTGGCAGCAGGTAGATCTTCACATAGGGATCCGAAAACCCATTGGAGTCCTTTGCGGGGAGGTCCAAGGCCTGCAGGATCCGTACCACCAGCTGGTCGGAGCCATAGAGGTACCGCAGGGCAAAGCTGATGCGGCCACAGGGTGCCCCTGCCTCGCCAGAGCCCCCGCCACCCCGCCGGCCACCTGGTCCCGTGCCCTGGTACAGCTCCGGCTTAATCTGCCCAATGAGTTTGGCTTTTTCCTCTCCACCGGGGAGCGGCAGGGGCAGGGCAGGTGGCCGCTCCTCGCTGCTCGGGTCAGGTTGGGTGGTCAGAGTCTGCTGGGTGAGGGGCCGGGGCAGGGCTGGGTACCTGTGGGCAGGGGAGACCAAGGTGGGGGTCCAGGCCCAGCCTCCTCCCTCAGATCCAGCCTCCTCCCTCAAACCCAGGGATCCAGGCCCAGCCTCCTCCCTCAGACCCAGGGGTCCAGGTCAGACCCAGTGGCTCTGATCTTTGGCTGCATCTGACCACCTGGGGACTCCTCCCTGCCTCCCCCTCAGCTCCCAGAGAGGTGGCTGTGATCCCTTCCTGTGCCCACTCTGTGACCTTGACGTCTCACTGAGCCTGTTTCTTCATCTGTATCTGGGGGGAATTAGCCCCATTGCTAGGCCAGCTCTGTCCCTAGACCTGTGAATCGGCTTTCAGAAGCCTCCTCTGGACCTCAAACTGATGACTCAGAATAACTTCTTGGGCCCCTGGGGTCTCACATAGCCCAGACCCTCTGAATCTTCTTCTCCCCCACCTGTCCTCTCTATTGCCACTGCCCTTTCCCAACCAAGGCCTGTCCTCTTCGGTCGGGACTCCCAGCCTCCAGTCTCCCTCCTGCCCACTCCTTGTGGCCCCAGAGGGGTCCTTCTACACCCAGAGCTGACCCTGCTCCTCCCCTGCTCACAGCCCTCCAATGCTCCCCAGGGCCCACAGGGCAAAGCCCCGGCCTCCCTACCTGGCACTTGAGGCCCTCTGTGGTCTGGTGTCTGCAGCCACATCTTCCAATGTCCCTCTCCCACCCAGTGACTCCTGGCTGTTCCCCCAGTGACTTCCAGCTCCCCTCTCGCCTTTGCGCGGGCAGCTCCCTTTTCCCAGAATGCACAGCCACTCCCCTGCCCCCCTGCCTGACTCAGCAGAGGCACCTCCACCTCCAGGAAGCCCCTGGTCTCCTCCCAGCCTGGGAACAGGGTCTCCTCGGGACCTTCAGGGGTGCTCCAGGGCAGTCAGGCCGAGCTCATGCCAGGTGCTCAATGTCCACATGCAGAATGAGCTACCCTGGAATGGGCTCCAGGTCCCCAGGGCTAATCCCAGCTTAAAGTGAATGAGAGGAATAATTGCCTCTGCCTTGGGGATCCAACTCCCATTCTCCTCCATGTTCCTGACCCTATATTCTTGTCCCCAGCCCTCTCCTGCCTCTGAACCCAAGAATCCAAGTCCCCAAGTCTCCAGTCCCCTCTCCTTCAGGTCAGAAGAAAAAAGGCCCCTCTAGCCCCATCCTCCCTTAGATCCCGAGTCTGGGGCCTCCGCCTCTTCATTCCTGGGATCTAGGAGTCCAGACCACAATCTTCTTGACCCAGAACTCAGAAAAATCACAGATGGGAAAGAGACACAGAGGAGCAGAAGTTCAGAGTAGACCCCGGCCCAGCAGTCGCTCTCACCTGGTGCTGGGCGCTAGGCTTGTGACCTGCTGATGTGACTGGGCACTGGGCAAGCTCCCACCACTGGGGGCCAACAGGAGCAACCCAGATCCTGCCCCGCCCTCGGAGGGCAGCTCAGGAGATGTCTGGCTTGGTTTGACCCCAGCAGCTACCACAGCTGCTGCTGCCGCCTCTGGATATGAGTCCATGTCCAAGTAAGAGGGTTCCGGGGGGTCGGAGCCCCCCAAGCTGCCCGGCTCCAGCAGCTCGGCGAAGGGCGGATGGTGGGCCGTGTGGGCATGGTGATGTGGGCCGCCGAGCAGAGGATGGCCACCCAGGCCAGCCCCCAGGTGGTGCCCGCCACCACCCACCAGGCCGGCCAGCCCAACCCCAGGGCCTAGGTCTTTCCGCAGGGGGCCGCCGCCCACTGCCGAGCCTCCCTTGTCCCGCCAGGGCACCCAGCACAACTTCCAGGACACAAAGAGAGAGACACCCAGGAGGACAATGCCACAGAATGTGACGATGACCGACAGCAGGCTCACGGAAATGTCTGGAAAGAGTGAGGACAGAGGTCAGGGGTCAGGGTGGGTCAGAGTGCATCCTCCCGCTGAGTCCCCAAGGGGCCGACTCTCGGTATTTGGCATGCATTGTCCCCAGCACTTCTCATGCAGGCAATTTAAACTCCCCAGCCCTGGAGGGAGCTATTCCGGGACTGGTCTAAAGAGGTTGAGAGTTTGCATTAGGTTGTGGAGGACAGAGCTGAGGTCTGGCCCCAGCTGTCTGCCTCCACATTTTACTCTCTTGATCAGAGCCCGGGCCGCCTTCCGATAAGAAAACACAACACCCGGGACAAGACCAAGGCAGCTCCCAAACACTCAGAGATGGTCCAGGAAAAGTGGGAATGCATGGCAGTGTCCGGAGGGTCAGGACTGAAATCACAGTTTGCTCTGTGGCCTTGGCAACCTGTCTGAACCACTCTGAGCCTTACATTCTCCATTTGCCCGATGGGAAAGATCATCCTGCTTTTTGGTTTGAAGAAATGCAGAGGTAAATGTGGAATACCCTAAGACATTCGCTCACAGGTGGCCACATACTAGACACCTCAGTGCCCCAGATGAAGCTGGCAACATGATTATTCCCATTTTCCACAAAAGGTAACTGGGGTCATTAGAATCACCTGCCCAAAGTCCCTCAGCGGGTAGATGGTAGAGTCACAATTTGAGCCTGGGATGCCTGGCTGTAAAACCCATGGTCCTCACCACTGTGCTGTCTTACCTCAATCATGCTTAATAAATGTTAGTTCCAGTGTGACTTCATATTGGAATAATTAGTCCTATTGCTTCCATGAAGTGACCCAGCACCATAACACCAGCTTCCAAATGCCTGTGACATGCTGCTCTGCCTCAGAGAAACCCAGGCAACAGCCTGTTTCTTGCACTCAAAATTTGTGGCTTGCTCAGTGATTGGTACCAGGAGTGGGGTTTTCTGGAAATGTGCACTTGTTCTGGGACTGGCTCCTGGGGGTCAGCGAGATAGAAGACAGGTGAGCCCTGCCTGTGTAGGTGGCAGATTATGGTGGGGAAGTAGGTGGCTAAGTCATTACCAGCAAGGACAGCTGAGTGTTCAGGGGACAGACAGAGGGAACAGACACCTCCTGGTCCTGTACTGCTCAGTGAAGCTACAGCAGTGTGTGACACTAATCCTTGATTGTGTGTAACCTAGGGATCACTTGTCCCATCTTACACATAGAAAACCGAGGCTCTGAGAGAGAGAGAACGTGACCCTGCAGGGCTGTAACCAACCACTGGCAGAGGAATCCTAAATTTCCCCTGCCTCCTCCCTTGAGGTGCTCCTTTCTAAGTGACCCAAACTTGCTGCAAGTTCTGGGGACGGTTAGAAACCAGAGGCACGGACTTTAAAAGCCTCCTGAATGCGGGTCAAGCGGAGGCCGGGGGTCCCTCTGGAGGAAGACTGAATAGCCTTCACTGTCCAAGTCAGACCGTGAGCGCTCCAGGGCTGATGGGTCCCTCAGTCCCACGCGAGGCCCGGGAGCCTCCAGGTCTGGGGAGGTGTGTGACTCCACAGCAAAAGAGTCACACCTCCCTGAAGAGAAGGCTGGCCCTTGACCAGCTCCTGGGAGGGAAACTGCCAGGACAGACAGACAAGGGCCTGATAGGAGTGGCTTATTTCACCGGGATCTGGGACCATACAACAGCTTTTCTCAGTTCCGATTTCTTCTAGTAAATCCTTGAACCTGAGGGGGGTCCCTGGGATCCCAAGATCCCACTACTCACCTAAGACTCTGAGCAAGCGACGGCCACTCTCTGGCCCTCATTCCTCATCAGTGGCCCCTGGCTGTCCTACACACAGGAGGCCCAGCCCTGCCCCGGTGCTCGGCCAGAGGCTGTGGTGGCATGCGTGACATTTCCTGGTTTCAGAACCCTGCTGCTTCCTAGCTCTCTGACATCAGGCAAGTCACCTTACCCTCTGAGCCTCAGTTTTCCCTGTAGAAAACCAGGATATATGTACCACAGAGGACCACTGTGCATGGTCAATGATCAGGACCTTGCCTGGTCCCCGACCCACAGCGGGTGCTCAATAAGTAAATCCCAGGATTGGCTGAAGGATCACTGTGTGTCCAGTGTTCTAAGTGCTTCCCATGGGTTGCATCATTTGAGTCTCTCATCTGCCCTATGAAGTAGTCACTTTTATCGTCCCCATTTTCCAGATGAGGAAACTGAGGTACAGAAGAGGAGCCGCTTTCCTAAGGCCATCCAGTTACCAGGCAGGGAGGTGGGATTTGGACACACACAAGTCAGACAGTCTGACTCAAACCTGAGCTTGGAACCACTGTGTGAGATGCACCAAGGGCCACAGCTATGGGGAGGCCACAGAGCAAAATGCAAAAGGTCAGAGGTCAAGTGGTTCCGCAGTCAAGTGACTAACCACACAGCTCCTTCTCCTTAGGTGAGAGGTTTGGGGAATGGGGTAGCCGCAGGCAGGAGGGGTTCAAGGTGCTAAGTGCGACTGTTCCCAAAGGGAACGGGAAGCTGAGCAGCCTGCTCTGAATTCCTAGAAGTCCTGGCTGTTGTGGAGGTGGGCAGCCAGCCAAGACAGCTGGGGTGCTGACCTGCATCTGGACCCCGGGGGTAGCCTCGGATTCGCAGCTCATTGAACTCCTGGCACCTGTCATTGGTGTCGGCGTCTCGGACCCGTGCACAGAGGTCTGAGACCAGGATGAGAGCCCGCCGGCAGAGGTCATCCTCATAGTCTCCAGACATGGTGTCCGTCTGGTCCTGTGATTGGGAGGGGGTGGGGAGAAGGGGTGGGCAGTGGGCAGAGAGCAGGGGCAGGTGAATCAGGGACCAAGATCAGAGGAAGAAGGACAAGAACACAAACATGAGGGAGAGATAGACAAGGAAAGAAAATTAGGAGCAGATAGACAAGAGGACAGAAGTCAGGGGTGGACAGACAAGAAGATAGAGACATGGGATGGACACACTAAGGAGACAGAGAGAGGCGTGAGTGGACAAGGCGACCGAGGACAGGGACAAGTGGACCTGGAGGGGCAGACTGGGAAGGTCAGCAAAGGGGCAGAGTCAGGATGCACAAATAAAGGGATGGGCAGACAAGGAGACAGAGATTAGGGCTGCACAGAGGAAGGGACAGAGATTAGGGACGGACCCATGAGGAGACGGCCATTCATCATTCATTCATTCTTCCAACACATCTTCACCAAGCACCAACTACACACCAGGCTCTGTGCCGGCTGCTGAAGATCCAGCAGAGAACAAAGTACGGGGGCCCCTCAGTGTCACAAAGTACGGGGCCTCCTCAGTGTCACAATCCAAAGACAGGAGACGAAGAGCAAACAAGTAAACAAACCAACACCAACAAGAAGACACAGCTCCACTTCAAAAGAAACAGCTGGAGGACGGGCCACAAAGGAACCAAGAAGCACAGTTAGGGAGGGCTCTCTGGCACTTGAAGGACAAGATGGAGCCAGCCATGAGTAGTGGGCAATGAGGTTAGAGCAGGGCAAAGCATTTTGGGCAGCAGGAACAGCATGAGCAAGGGCTTCAGGTTGGAAAGTGCTTAGAGGGTCAGAGGAAGGAGAAGGAACCAGACTGGGGTGGGCAGTTAGAGGACCAGGAAAACAGAGGAGAAGAGGTGATAGGTATGGTGAATTACGGGGAGGGATGGGGATGCAGAGACGGGAACCAAGTTGAGGGAAGGGAGAGATGATGGGAGGAGAGACAGAGATAATGGAGAGGGCAACCTGGAGACCAGAGGAGAAGGAGAGAGGTACAGACAGATGGAGGGGAAGTCAAGAATTGTGACTTGGGCTGGACAGAGACAAAAATATGAGCTGGTATGTAATTCGTAGGAGCTGAAAAATGGACAGAGGGGCAGCAATGAGGGGCAGGTGGCAGTGTGAGCAGAAATAGCTTCCAAAGAGAAACAGCAGGAGAAGAGGATAAAGGGATGCAGAAACAAAGCCCAGACAGATAATGGCTTGAGCTCAAGACAGACACAAGGGTAGAGAGGAGAGCTGGGCAGACAGAGTGGGTCCAGAAGGGAAGGTTGCATGGGGACATAAATGAGAGGGGGCCAGGAGAGAGAGGTGAATGTGGGAGTGGGGAGAATTAGTGACACATGGCTTGGAACCAGACATCAGAGAGGGGTTGGAAGGGGGATGCAGAAGGAAATTAGGGAGGAACAGATCCGGGCTCACAGATGGGCAGGTGTCATGGGGGTGCTGCAAAAGGCCAGGACTCCGAAAGAGGCATGGTCAGACTCACCTGCGCTTATCCTTGCCTTGTCCTGGGTGGCAGCCGAGGCGGCGGCGGGCGGCAGCCCATGGGGGTTGTAGGGCGGACAAGGGGCTGCAGACCCGTCCCCACGCGCGCCGGGTGGTGAGAGGGAATGACTGATCTAGGGGCCGAGGCCGAAGGAGGGGGAAAGCTCAGCCAAAGCCATACATCTTGCCCTACTGGAACCAGTCACCCAACCCCAGGCGACCCCGGGGGTCCCGCTGCCCCCTCCCACCTCCGGGCCCCGCGCCGGTAAAAGCTCGGAGACTACAACTCCCGACAGGCCTCGCGCTCGCGCTGCGGAGGCTTTCTAGACCGGGCGCTGCAAAGGCTGCTGGGAGTTGAAGTTCTGAATGCCTCTCTGGGCTGCAGAGAGGACAAGATTTTTTTTTTTTTTTTTTTTTTTGGAGGTATGGGTGGTGGGGGGGTTAAGATGCCAGGGTCCCAAGACACTGTAGGGGAGCGGAACGATGTCCAGGACCTTGAAAGACCGCGGGGACCTAAGTCCTTAGGGGCCAGGGAATGGGTAAACGATCCCCGAGAGTCGGGGATCGGTGGGCGAGCGGTGGGGTATACCCAGGTGTTTTGGGATCCCCCTTCCAGGGCCACGTGCCCCTCCCCCGGAGCGGCCAGCGAGCGCTGCAGACTCCCACTGCCCAGCCCGAGAGCCATGGGCCTCGGCACCGACCCCCGCCCCACGCGCTGGGGCCGCCCCCCGGCTCGGGCTGGGGCGGGGGCTGTGGCAGGGGAGGGGGAGGAGCGGACTCACCGGAGCCGCCGCCGCCGCCGCCGCCGCAGCCCCGCGCGCCCGCCGCGGTGCCCGCCCGGCTCCTCCTCCGCCCCTGTCGCAGGCCTGCAGCTCCTCCCCCTGCACCCCCTCCTTCTCCCCTCCCCACCCGCCGCCCGAAAGCCAAAATCGCGAGGCTGCAGCGAGGAAGGAGGGAGACTTCCCCGCACCGAGGCATCAGAGACACAGTGCGCCTCCACATCAGAGATCCGGGATCAGGACCCCTGTCCCCCCAGGCACCAGGGCTCTGCGGCTCTCAGACCTAGAAACCCCGGACCCTGGTGCCTCCCCCTGAGCCGCTCTGAGGGCTGGCAGCAGGAGGAGGCCTCACAGGCAGAGGCAGAGCTGGAGGCTCCGAACTGGGCCGGGCCGGGCGCTCCTTGCTGTATGATCCTGGCTCTTCGCCCCGTTCTCACCAGCAGATTGTAAACAATCCACTTATTTCCTAAGGGATGCAGAGTTTGAAAAACCAGTCAGGATAGATAAAGCTCTAGCACCAAGTCGGTGCTTTAATGAATACTTCTTAAAAGCAGCAAGTAGCAGTTTCTGGTATATTAATAGCAGTTAATGATAATTGCCTCTTCCTATGATAAAGTGGCAATGTGCTGAGTGCTTTGAAAGCATTTTCTCGTTTAATCTTCACTTTGGTTCTGAGATGGGTGCAATTATGTTATTCCCATTTCACAGAGGAGACAAACAAGACCCGTGGAGGTTAATTCCCTTGACGAAGTCCAGATCTACCTAGCTACCATCCCAGCCCAGAAAGGTGGCTTTGGAAGGCCCCCAATCTCACTTGGTGCCTACCCCCAACCAGGGACACCCAAATAAATACAACCTTTAAGGAAAAGATTTCTTGCTTCTGCAAATGCAACTGTAACACAGGTCTTCTAGGCTCTCCCCTAACTAGATTGCCCTCTCTACTGGGCAACTGTATTCATCTTACAGTCCTTAGATGGCAGAATCCTCCCAAAATGCCCCCTGGCTTACCCCAGACTCCCATCCTCCTGTCTGCTCACATTTTGCAGATGGGTCTGCATTCACTCCCAGGGAAACTTGCCTGAGCCCATACCTGTAAAGAGTGCAGTGCGGCCCTGCTCTATGGCCATTCTCACAGCCAGATCTTGCACCCAGCAGGGGCCTGTCCAGGCTCCACCAACAGCCCCCGTTCCTCAGGCCAGGAGGCATGCACACACTCAGAAATGTGCACGTTTCCAGAGCCCTGGACTCTGAGGCTGTCCAGGCATTGAGGGGCAGTCTTTGGCACCCAGTGTGGCTTTGAGGGCCAAGCATCAGGTTCAAGTCCCACTCTGCTTTTTCTCACTTTGGAGACTTGGGCGGGTTCCTATGTTCTCCACATCTTGGTTTCCACCTCTGTAAATGAGGATGATGATACTTTTGAAAATCAGACTCGATCTCTTTATTTTAAGGACTAATTTAAATGCACGGGAGGTGCTTAGAAGAAATGGCTAGTGGTTAGTGCTGGCGTAATTAATAATTGCGTGTGTTTGCTCATTTAATCTTTAATCACATTTGACAAGTGAGAAAACTGAGGCCCAGAGAGGGACACATCTGCTCAGGACCACACAGCTGGCAAGTGTCAGGTTTGAGATCGGCAACATGTGCGTGTCAACCTAGAGCCCCTGCCCTAGCTACAACTTTAGTGCATCTGGGATGTGGGAAGGCCCTTGCAAGCCCCTGCCCCTGGGAATGTAGAATGGTATAAAGAACAGGAACCAGGAGAAGAAGGAGAGTCCTCCATATTTATCCCATTGAATTCACTCGGTCATTTGATGTATGCTTTGTGAGCATCTATTGTGTCCTGGACATTTTTTTTAGGCAACAGGGATTCAGCTGGGAAATAGACAAAATAGACAAAAATCCCAGTGGAGGGAGAACTCGTGATCTAGTGAGAAGACAGATGATCAAATAACGCAACGTCCCAGGCTCCTAACTAGGATCGACGCTACCAAGGCAAGTCCAGGGCGCTGTGTAACTGAGAAAGAAGTCAGGGAGGGTGTGCTCCCCGTGTAAGCCCCGTTTGAGCCGAGCACAGAGGGGGAGTGGGTTAGAGCAGGGGAGAGGGAGGAGGAGGGGAAATACCAGGGAAAAGGTGCAACCTAGTTCAGGCTGGGGCAGGAGGGCTCTGCCACAGGAGGGCTGGGGGCACACGGCTCGCGGCTCACCAGGCGCAGGGTCTGGCACATGGCAGGCACTCACGACATATTTGTTGTTGGGCCGGATGGAGGAACGCGTGGATAGAGGGGTGTATTCATTACATATGGATGGCTAGGTGGGTGCCGGACCCCTGGGTGGGTGGTGATGGAAGGAGTGGCGATGGAAGGTGCTGGACCGATGGATACCAGGAGGATGGATGGGTCAGTTACCAACTGAATAGATGGACGGGTGTTGGAAGAATAAATAAAGGTATCGATGGATGGATGGATGGATGGATGGATGGACGGATTTGCACGAATACCTACCGATTCACACACAGACGCTCCTGGACATAGACAAGACCCACGGCAGGGATAGGCACCCATATGTGGAAACATGCTCCCCAAGGCGGGGGTATCCGCAGGGAGGAGAGGTCAGTCCAGCTGGCCAGGGCCTGGCGTGCGCCAGAGGTGGGCAGGAACCCCTCCACGCAGGTTGTGACCGGCCGCATCCCCGCAGTGCTGACATCACCTCTAAATGCTGGTTCTGGACCGCTTGTCCCCGGCTGGGCCCCAGGCCAGAGAGTGGGATTCGGAGGGCCCAAGAGAGATGGGGGGCGGAGGGGTGCAGGTGGGGGCAAGGCAGGGAGGGAGGCCCAGAGACAGTGAGACTGGACACAGTGGAACAGAGATGGGGACTCAGTGAGGGGGAAGGAGGGAGGGAAAGAGACAGGGAGAGAGAGAGAGAGAAAGACAGACACAGGGCTCAGTGCTAGAGGGGGGAAGAGACAAGGACACCGGAGAGAGGGTTCCAGAGAAGCCAGCTTAATCCAGATGCAGAGACAGAGAACCCAGGAAGACACTCTGCTGAGCGCCCCTGTGCGCCTGGCTGGGGTCGGGTGGGTAGATATCATCATTTATTCACCAGTAGCCCCTCAAGGCAGCATTATTGACTAGAGATGAAGAAACTGAGGCTCTGAGAGGGCTAGACACTTGCCCGGGTTTGCACAGCATCCCATGCTGATCTGCTTGACTCCAGAGCCTGTACCCTATTCTCTGCCGTCTGTTCTCTCATGGGGACCAGGACAGACAGGGCAGATGGGGTTGGGGGCTGCTGAGTCACAGAGATAGAGGGGAAATAGTCACTTGTTTGATCATTCAGTTCACATGGACTGAACTTCTCAGAGGGCTGGCCACTGTGAGGTGAGCTGGAGGGCACAGATGGGTCAGCGGACCAATCCCTGAGCAAGACAGAGAGTGGGCAGCAGGGACAGTGTTGACAGGTCTGGAACAGGAGCAGAAAAGAAGCCGCAGCTGAAGGAGACCAGAAACACTCCTGGCAGGAGGAGGAGTCAGAGTCCTTCCTGGAGGAGGGGGCACTTGGGCTTCTTATTTTGAGAACAGGTGGGATGTGAGGGAGGAGGGTGGGCGGAGGTCCAGCATGTGGCTTCCCACATGGAGTGCAGACAGGAATGGGGGGAGGTGAGGGAGGGTGGACCACTAACTCACAGAGGGAGGCAGAAGAAAGAGCTTGAGGGGCAGAGGTGGGGGGAGCAGGACTGAAGACTGAACGCCACCCAAGGGCACCAGAAAGCTAGGGAGAGTGCACAAGCAGGGCAGGGGCGGGGCCAGCTCTGGGTGCCGAGGGACCCTCTCTGGAGTCTTGCCTGTGGGAAAGGGGGTGAGGGAAAGAGGCTGGGGGTGGGGAGGACAGGGAGGAGGCTAGGACCCGGGTCCAGGCGGGACAAGAGCAGCACTGAATGGCTTCCAGACAGAGAGGGAAAGTGGGAGTGGAGAGGGAGGAAGAGAGGAAGGGGCTGAGAGGCAAGAGGCAGAGAGCTCACGGACCAAGGGGCTGTGGGGACTAGGTGTGCCTATGGCCATGGCAAAGGGTCCCCACCCTACAAAGATGGCATTGGCACTGGAGAGGGACAGATTGACAGGAGAGAAAGAGATGTCAAGATGCAGGAAGGGAGTCAGAGCCACAGAAGAACGGAGTGAGACCATTTATCAAGACTGTTTCGGTTGCCAATGACAAAAACTCACATTGAATCTACCTAAGTATAAGAGGAATTTATTGGGTAGATGAGGGCTTCAGGTTCAGCTAGATCCAGCTGTCTCCATCATCA